AGGTGGCTGGCTGGCTCTCGTGGCGATTGCTGGGATGCACCTAACGGCACTCTCCGTCCAGAAGACCATGCCACCGTACAGTCATGCGATGCTACGCGAATGGCTAACAAATAATCCAAAGGACATACTATCCATCCACCAGTATTGTCATTCGCAAAGATTGCAAAGAACATAGAAAAGAAAGCTCGACTCAATCCACATGGATTGATCACTGTTGTTGTTGTTGGGGTATAGACAAGAGAAAGTAAAGAAGGAGGGTGTTAGACACAAGGGGAAATAGAATACTCCGTCGGTTTAGATCGGTAGGTCAAATATGTATATGTATGTGTGTGTGTGTGTAGCATACCCAGCGCAGGCTCCCAAAAAGACCGAGGACCAAATGTGGGGTGGGGGGAATTAGTGGAGGGTATGGATGGTAAACTAATTTCTATCCGTATATAGATGCTGTATTTGTTGTTTTGCAGTGAACCGAACGCCGGGGAGGGGTGGGTGGATAGGTTGGAGGGCCATCATGAAATAGTTATTTGTTGGGCGGAGAAAGGAGGAAAGGAGTTGTTGGGATGTGGAGGAGGGACTAGTTGGCTGTTGACGGGGATGGGCCGGAGTATCCCTCTTCCACCGCAATGACACATACGACTGAGATGTCGTCGACCTTGCCGCCGCGGTACCAGTCTCCCGGGTAATAGCGTTGAGCTTCTTTGGCAAAGGGCCCGTCGCGACGCACGTCCATGCTTGCTAGCTTGGCTTCGCCGGCAATGGTGGCTGCTATTAAGGATTGGAGGCTATAGACTTGGTCCCGGGTGTTTGGGGAGGCGGATTTACTGGATGAGGATGTGTTGGCGGAGGAGGAAGAGGAAGCAGAGGAAGTGGAGGAGGTCGACGAGGTGGAGGGCGAGGGAGAGGATGCGGGGAGAAGCGGCGCCAGGCCTTCGGGACCGGTGAGTTGGTGCAGATCCGCCGAGGGCTGGATCCCGGCCTCCTCGGTGGAGGTCCAGGCGCCCGTAAGGACCATGCGGCTGGACACCAGTTTGAGGATATCTTGGTTGTTGAGGTTGTCGAAGACTCCGTCAGTGGCTAACACGAGGACGTCTCCGTGCTGCATCTGAAGGTTGGTGACGGCCGCGTCGCGCGGGAAGTCTTCAAGAAAGGCACCGCCGAAGATGGACGCCTGGGCGCGCATCCGGGGAGGGATGATGCTGAGTTGGTACGGGGTATTGAACCCGTGAGTTTGCGGCACCGAGTAATGGTGCACAGCTGCGAGTCGAAGAAGGACTGAGCCGGAATCGCCGAGATTCGCCAACTCAATCTGACCATCTTCCAAGCCAACACCGACGGACGCGGTGCTGCCACCGGCTGGAATCGACTTGTCTGCTACTACCTGATCATAGCCCACCTGAAGAAGGTGCTTCGCCCGCAATTGCTCCGCTGGTGCATCCCAGGCAAGGGCCGATTGCGCCATGTAGCCACAGAGGGCATGAGAGAAATCCGCCGGATCGACGCGGGATTCTGCCCATCCGCCAACTCCGTCAGCTACGGCGAATGCGATGGCCCCGGAGTCGCCATTTCCGACCTTGCTGACGAAGAATGCATCCTCGCCGCTGTCGGGTCTCCTTTTCCTTCGCAGTGCAGGATCTTGGGTGTCTGTTGCAACGCCGATTGCCGGGTGGAGGTCGGAATTGAAGTCGTACGAGTTCTTCGCCGGATGAAAGCGACGGCCCTTGCCGGAGGCTGAAGCAGCGACCCGGTAAGAGATACGAGGAGAGGAGGACTGAGACGATAGCGGCGCGGTTGTATGGAAAGCTCGGCGATAATCGGCAGACGGCGGATTTCGTGCGACGGGAGCAAGACAGAAGGATGACCGGGAGGTCAATCGACGAGGGGCCGACTTCTTTGCGGTAGCAAAAGAGGCCAAGAGTTGATCACGGACGACGGTGTGTAGGCTACTGCAGGCCGAACTGCAGGCTCTACTGTGGGAGGCCAACGCGATCATCAGCAAAGATCCCGGATTGGAGCCGGAGAGTTTCTATCCTGTCTGGGCCAGCAGTAACAGGGGGTCGAGCGGTCGGCGATGGCGACGTCCAGCAGAGATCGGATCTTGGCGTGAGATACACAAAGAAGAGTGGAGAGGAAATATGATAACCGTTCCAAAACGCCGGCTGACTCGACAAACACAGAGAAAGAAAAGTAAGTGGGAGAGTTTGAGAAGAGAAGACGAAGAACCGATGGAAATTTCGGGCCAAAAGGCCGGCAGTTGCTGTGACCGCCCGCCCTCGTCATCGACCGCCTCACGATGGGCGAGGCATGCTTGAAACACTCATCCAGCCTGTCGTCGAGTCTAGCTTCTGCTTTGATATGGCGATCGAGGAGTATGATGAAGAGGAGGTCTAGGTAAATAAGGTCTAGACTGTTGACAGATGTTGGTTGGCTGGTCAACGATCGTCCTGAGCGCAGCTCTCATTACCCTGATTGATATAGTAGATAATGGCGGAAGTGGGCCATGATATTCACAAAATGTGTTCAAGACAATCTTCGGAGTTGATTCAGGACGAAAAGGCTCATTCAGTGCCCATCCAGGGGCTTCTGAGAGATAGCCTAGAATGCGCAAGAGGAGCTTTAAGAAGGTGACAAAGTTGCTGCGCGACTGGACTTGGATGGAGATTGTTGATGGGATTCCAGTTGATGATTGACCGGGCGGGTTGCGTTGCCCTTGTCGCCGCCTTCTGCAAAACGGACATGCCCGCCATTTCACTTCCTCTCCAACTTCGGCCTCTTCTTCCCTCTTCACTCTCTAGATTCTTTTGTTATTACTTACACTCCCTATCTCTGGTATAAATAATCTTCACAGTCTTCATCACTGCAGTTCTGAACTGAAAAATTTTTGACGTGTTGGTCTAATCGAGTGGGCATTTCTTGGCTAATCCCCTCATCTCGTCGCCCATCATGATGCACCCATCGCGACAGGCGTACGTGGAGGAGGTGCAGGTAGGATCACCCCCCCCCCCTCTCAGCTGCTGTCTGGTTCAGACTGAATAATCTACTTCCGCTATTATCGGCTCACAGGACGACTGTGTCTACTTGGGCGCATTGACTGACATTCATTTCTACTGCAGGACACGGATATGGGCATTGACCTAGCAAATATACGTACGTATCGCTTGTAGCCTTTACGAATACTGACAGAACCCCATCTTGAAGCTGACGTCCCATCTTCTTATACAGCCGTGGACCGAAATTATGACCTTCCCTCTTCCGCAGCGGGCATTCCGGCGGAAAGAGCGTCTGCCATCCTATCCCAGTTTGAGCGCAAGAGGAGAGCCGCTGCGATGGCGGTCCCCACTGATGACACTCGAGTGCGCGCGCGACTACGAGAGCTTGGCGAGCCAATCACACTCTTTGGTGAAGGACCTGCGGATCGTAGGGACCGCTTGCGCGAGCTGCTGACCGATCTTGCGGAGAAACAGGAGGCGGCGGCGGCGGCGGCTGAGGGCGACGTGGAAATGCGAGAGGGGACAACTGAAGTTGACGAAGACGAGGATGAAGAGGCTGAGCAACAGGAGGAGTTTTACACAGAGGGCTCCGAGGAGCTTCTCAAGGCGCGGAAAGAGATTGCGCGATTCTCCCTTCCCCGCGCAAAGGCCCGTGTCGCCCGGCTGCGTGAAGAATCGACCATTCCTCTGCGGACACATATCAAACATCGCAAAGCGATCAAGGAAAAACTGCATCAATTTGACCTCTACGGTTCCCAAATCGCGGGTGACCGACCTGTCAGCATTTGTCGCTTCTCGCCTGACGGGCAGATGATTGCGACTGGTAACTGGGGAGGAGGTATCAAATTGCTGACGGTGCCCAACCTCGAAGAAAAATGGTCAGTTAAGGGACATGCAGACAGGGTTGGTGGATTGTCTTGGTTTCCCGGTGCGACGTCTACCGCCTCGGAATCGACGGTGAATTTGGTCTCAGGTGGCGGCGACGGCAACGTGTGTCTGTGGTCACTGGACAAGGAGCAGCCGCTGGCGACGCTTTCCGGTCATAGTGGTCGTGTCTGTCGGACGGAATTCCACCCGTCTGGCCGGTATGTCGCTTCTGCCTCCTACGATACTACTTGGCGATTGTGGGATGTGGAGACGACGGCGGAGTTGTTACTACAGGAAGGCCATTCGCGTGAGGTATACGCAGTGGCATTCAACAATGATGGTTCACTCATGGCGAGCGGAGGCCTGGACAGTATCGGACGTATCTGGGATCTACGAACAGGCCGGACTGTGATGATTCTGGAGGGGCACATTCGGGAGATTTACGGGTTGGACTGGGGTGTCGACGGGTACCGGGTGTTGTCCGGGTCTGGAGACGGATGGGTCAAGTGTTGGGATCTGCGGCAAGTGCGCAACACCGGAGGCATCGGCGCCCACAAGAGTGTCGTGTCCGACTTGCGATGGTACAAGGGCGCCGAAGCCACTTCCATCCTACCTTCGGAGGGCCGCATGGAGGTGGACGGCGAGACACCAGGGCCCATGCAGCCTAAGAAGTCGGGAACATTCTTCGTGAGCAGTGGCTTCGACAAGAACGTCAACATCTTCAGTGCAGATGACTGGTCATTGGTGAAGAGTCTCAGTGGGCACTCCGGCAACGTGCTTAGCACCGACATCAGTGCGGATGCGCAATGGATTGCCAGCTGTGGCCACGACCGGACCGTGAAGCTTTGGGGGATCGAATGAGTCTGAGTGTACTGTACTATATACGACAACCTAACAATAATTACGAAGCTATGTATCATGGCAGTAGGAGTGCGCTCTGGTGATGATATCATTTGGACAATCAGTCTTTAGATTCCACCATGCATGGCAGGCGGTGAGCCACAATCCTCAAGTCTTATCTCACCGCCCGCTCGATTCCGCGGGCAAAACCGGCCGTCTATCCATTATCAATCAAGAATTCCGGAGAAGTAAGAAGCTTCAACTTCTTTGCTCATCTTCATCTACCATCTCTTCCTGTCGATAATCATGGCAACGACGCGCGTAGCCGGACGGCTACTCTCAGCTGGAGCTTCCAAGAGCAGTTTGCAAGCTGCCTCTCAGCGCTCATCTACCACAACCATATCATATTCCCGGTGCCATCGCCGGCTCTCACCGTCGCCACTACGACGATTTGAAACTCACAATCTTACCAGCACTACTCGCTCCTTCACCACATCCTCCTACCTCTTGTCCTCTACCTCAGCCGCCGGTCCAGAGATCCCGGACATAACCAACCACTATACGATCTTCCGGAACACGCTCCCCGCCGGCCCGCCACCGCACTCGCCGTTCTCGATCTCCCCCGCGGACTTGCGCCGCGAATTCCTCCAATGGCAGGCCCGCATCCACCCGGACAAATACCCCTCAGGTCCGCAGAAGCAGCAGGCCGAGGCTCTGTCCGCGCGGATCAACGAGGCCTACCGCACACTGCTGGACCCCCTGCAGCGCGCGCAGTACCTCCTCCGCGAGATGCACGGGATCGACGTCACGGCGGAGGATGGGGCGACGAAGCATGCGCTGGACCCGCAGACGCTCATGGAGGTGATGGAGGTACAGGAGACGATTGAAGAGGTCGGGGCGGACGCAGGGGCGGAGGAGACGATCCGCGAGTTGCAGCGGGAGAATGAGCAGCGGGTCCAAGAGTGCGTGCGGGCCTTGGAGGAGGCCTTTGACGGTGGGGATATAGAGACGGCGCGGACCGAGTGTGTCAAGTTGCGGTTCTGGTATAGTGTTGGGGAAGGGCTGAGGGAGTGGGAGCCCGGGACGAGAGAGATTCGGTTGGTACATTGATCCGAGTTGGGTTTGCATCCATACAATGTGTGTTTATCTTGTGTATACTACTCTCTCTAGTTTCCATGTCTCCCTCTGTCTTTTGTGGATGAATAGACATAGATGGTGTTGATGGGATTAATGATACCTTTTCCTATCTTTGTGCCATTTGGTTGTGGTGAAAGCGGGGGGTATGTGGTCATTGTTGTCTACTTATTGGTAGGGGCTGTGGCCTGTTGAATCACGCCTTGTCACAGTTAAATTAGTCAGATCAGTTCATTCGAAAACGTAGTGTTGTGCTTCGATTATTCGAAGTAACCAGTTTCCATGCGTGGTGCAGTCACTGGTTAGGGCACGGCAGAGTACACTTAAGTGATCTTCAAACGCAAATCCCGCGAGTCTGTTTCTTTTCCCATGGAGAGGAATGAACAAAGCGAATCATGGCCTCTCTGACATTGGCACTATAGTTTCAGGGAAATTATCAACCAAACGACCATATCAGACCGAAATAGGACCCCTGCAGGCCCCGGACGCCGACCAGCGTGGGTTGACCGCCGTTGGGTCTCGAAAAACGAAAAGAAAGGCTGGGAACAAACGATCCATCGGGCAACAACTCATCATTCCCTCGCCAGCCCCTCCAACTCTCCTCTGGTTGGTCTTTTTCAATCCTTGTCTCGCGTGAGAACATGCAGGCAGGTGCAATATCTTTTTGATTGATCCTCGAAAAGGGGGAGTGAAATCGAAGACGAAAGGCCAGATGGAGAGAGCACATCTCCTCCCCCACTCTGTGCATCTTGCAAACCATGCAGGAAACCTTCACCCCCCTCCTTCGGCCAACCTCGAGGAAAGACAGAAAGACAACAAGGACTGATCAGAGCTCGGATGACCAGGCCGATCCCTCCGGGACGCAGAGCAGCTTTCTTTCCCGGTGGCTCGCGCGATAAGACGACCGTCGTGAAAAGGTTGGCGGTCAATCCACTCGCTGCTTCACATCCCCCCCGTCACGATTGCCCACGTAGCCAGACTATCGCTCTTTCGACCCAGTTGGACTTGCCTCGTGCGCTTGTAGCTTTAGCTTCTCTTTCGGTGGAGGGGAAGCTAAGGATATTGCCGAGAAAACTAAGAGAGGGGGTTCTCCTACGGTCAATAGTGAGCAGGCTGCCAGTTCAAGGCAAGCCCCGGTGCAGCATATATGAAAGAGTCACGATCAGGGGTCGCATTAGCAGCTCCAACCTATTTTGATTGAGCTGCGTGGCTACCTCTCCTTCTTCAGTTCCCCTCAATCTCTTCTTCCCATCACTTCGCTTCCCCCTTCCCCCCCTCCGCCCCTCTGGTGTGTCTTGATCTCAGGGAAGAGGACTAGCCCAGAGCATAATTGGAGTCATCGTCGATGGAGGCAGATCGAGATTATAGTAGGTAGGTGTCTCACTCTCATCCAGCAAAATCCCCTCATCCCATCTTCCAATCTACTGCCCCATGCCAACCCCGACAGGACGGCCACTGATGGCTACAGCATCGTCCATTCACCGCCATTCACCTTCCTGGTCGGTCCCAATCACACCAAACTCACCATCCAGGCTGGTCTCGCCCGTCATGTCTCCCAGCCGCTGGACCATCTTATGAACAGCGGGGAAACCCGGGAATCGAAACATCACATCGCCGTGCTTGAGGACGAGGATGTCGAGACCTTTGTCGCCTTCTGCGAGTATGCCTACACCGGGGATTACCGCGTGCCTCCCCCAGGGTCGCGTGAGGAAGACCGCGACGATCAGCGCGTGAGTAATCCTTTCCGCGGAGTGTTCTCCAAGGACTCCCCGACCAGTCCAGTGCGGACTATCCCTCCGCGTGCCCCGACACCCCCTAGAACTGCTTCAAGGGAGTCCCACGACCGTCCCGGCGAAGGCGTGTATGCGGGCTCTGGCAAAGACGACGACGACTGGGAATGTGCAATCGCGCCAGATGAAGAGCCTGCAAATCCCGGGCAGGAAATGAGATCAGAGTCTAGGAGGCCCAGTGACCAGCCGCCGATGACCCCAGCCGTGGATAGGAAGGAAGAGGAAGGCGCTTGGGACGCGGCGGACGACGAAGCAGCCAAAGGCAAAAAAGGCAAGAAGAACAAAAAGAACAACAACAAGAAGAAAAGGGCCGGTGCTTCTGAGGAGGCGACACCTAAGCTGACACCTCCTTCCACGCCACCTCCTGAGAACTTGAAACCCGAGGAAGAGGGGGACCCAGCTGTGGAAACCAACATGGTGGCAGAACAATGGGAACAAGACCATGCCACAGTGGAGGGATCCGGCCCTGCGGAGTCGGCTCCGTACACGGAGACTTGGGGCCAGACGGCTGCCACTCCTCCAGCAGAAGCTGAAACCAGCGACGCAGATAAGGCGGGTGCGAAACACACACTACAAGCCCCTAAGGAGGAGGAGAAGCAGATGGGCCACGACCACAGTGGTAGGAGACTGACTGGGCCGATGATTGACACCTCCTTTGCCAAGCAGCAGTACTCCCGTCTGCATGAGAAGGGAAGCAACTTATGGGATGAGTTCGCCGCCATCGACTATATCGACCCCCGCTCCTGTCTCAGCACCAGGCCTCCGAGTGCCATGTCCTCTCGCTCGCCACATGAGCTGCCGTACTTGGTCTTCCATGCCAAGCTCTACGTCTTTGCGACACGGTACCTGATCCCGGCACTGGCTCAGCTCTGTCTCCGCAAGTTGCACCGGGACCTGCTGTATCTAGGCTTCCCTGAGAGGGACCAGGTGGATGATGATGATGAAGATCATCATGCTCTGGCCAGCATCAAGGCTCGTAAAATCCTTGACCTGCTACACTATACGTACACCAAGACCACCCGTCTAGAGCCGATCACTCCGACCTCTGCCACCCAACTGCGGGACAACGAGTTGCGAAAGCTGGTTGTGCACTACGCAGCGTGCAAGGTGCGGGACCTGGCCTCGTACTGTCCGCCAGTCGAGAGTGATTTGGGGTCTCCCTCGATCAGATCCCAGAAGCCTTCCGCGCAGGGCTTGCGGGCATTGCTTGATAGTACGACAGAGCTTGCCTCTGATCTCGTATACCGGATGATGATGTGATTTTGTGTTGGTGGTTATGCTGTGAACAGCACCATTCTTTTACTTCTTCAATGTCCCCTTCCATCTTTTGTTCTTCGATCTGTTCCTGGCCATGCATGTGAACCCGTTTGTTCCCATCCGTTCCAGAGGATCCCAGACAAGGATGTACGAACTGCATAATCCGGCGTCCATAACTTGCTGAACAATTATCTCATACTATCTGCGAACCCACATCAACGACTTTCCCTGTGTCTTTTGATGCGATTATGATCTCGACCATTTGAATAAATATGATTGACTTTCTCTCTTGCTGTCTATAATTAGAACTGCTTGCGTACTGATTTCTTCTTGGTGAATTGCTGCTGTGCATGGTTAGCGTGGGTGCCTGCTCGAATAGTTGGTTAGTGAACCGATTCCAGATTATTCTTTATGATATGACCTGTGTTCTGCATGCGCTGGTCATTCGTCTGACCTTCCCCGTTGAGAACCCCTGCCTGTTTCTCGTCTGCTTCGCTGCAGACCACGTTTCCGTGAAGAAGGAGGCGACAGGGGAGGCGACAGGAGGGGGCTGCTTGCTGCAGGTCTGACTGCTGTTGCTTGGTTGTCAGGCTGCAGAGTTGCTTGCGGATGGATTGCGTCAGGAAGGATGAAACGCGCTTTAAGCGATAGACGATCAAATACCGTACTACCCCTTCAGTTGCAGTAGTACGGAGGAGTCGAGGGAGTCGAGTGGATCAAGAATGCGGGTGACGTCGCGAGTGGAAGAAGAAGCTGAGCCATGCTTGGCGAGAATAACTCGTAGCATGGCTGGGCACTGCCAAGTCTTTCCTCCTTCTCCTCTTCCTCCCTCCTGCTCTAAACACTTTCCCGCTCTTCCCTCTAATCGAATTCTTCTTCCCTTTCCCTTGATTTTGGTCCGACCGGCACAGACGCACTCAAACCCAGATGTTGGATGATTCGACCATAAAACCATGAAACCATTAAACTCAATTGATTGACTTCAATGATCCCATTCCCCCCTTTTCCGGCTCTTCTTATCAGTCCCTCCTTCAATTCAATCTTGGGCCACAGCCACCGTGAGGCTTGGCGGCGGGCCTCCCGTTGACGCTGCGCTGTCGATCTTCTTCTTGGCTTGGATTTCTTCCTATCTTTGAGCATACTCATCACCATCCATTCTACCCACGTTGAACCCTTCTTCCCTGTCTACCTGCTTGCCTCCTGGGTAAGATGGTCGGATTCTCGAACTCGAACTCCCCAGCCAAGCGGCGATCTATCACATCTCGGCCGGCTCACAAGAACCTTATCCTTGGGCCGAGCCACGATGATATTCATTGACTTACCTTGGCCCTGCCGATGTTGCTCACTTTCGGTCCGACAGGGGAGGCTTATCAACCCCTTCCGATTGGTGATGATGATAATGATGGTGCAAATCGCTCAATGAGCCGACGCTGGTTCGCAACACTTGTGTCTCTCACTATCGTGGTCGGAGCATTTCTATCACTTACGGCTTTTCCCTTCGAACGCGTTTGCCTCAATTTTAGATTCCTGGGCGGTTTCGAAAAACAAACTACTATTTTCTCTAGGCAGCTGGTATTCACCCGACCATCGATCATCATCTTTAGCTCTCTTTGAATGAGACTGCCGCAGACATCACATCATCCTATGACATGCGTCACTTATAGATGACAAAGGAGATGCCGTACACATTCCACAACATGAAACCTGATGGAATGACTGGCTGCTGACGTTGTCTCTGCAATTGTGACCCACTGTCACAGCACCAGACACAGTTTTTGGGGTCACTGAGCAAAGCGGAGACTGAAAAAAGGTAGATCTTGGTCCCATCCATTTCCTCGGCATCCAGCCCACTCCCTACCTTCGATGATGCCTGGACTGTGGACCAGAACTGCAATCTTGGCAGGTGGTATGTCTCCTCCCTCAGGTTGTTTACACTTGCTCGCCCTCCTAATTTTGCCGCGCCTCTCGCCAGGAGTCCATTGTTGGATCTGCAATCGTCAACGCCCAGATCAAGGTCGCACTTGGTGGGTCAAAAAGATCAGACCCTTGGCGACACCGTATGCTCTGTCTTTTTCAGTGGTAGTAGCGAGAGCAACAGCAGCCACCCAATGTTGCGAGGCACTGTCAAAGCCCTGATGGATAGGGGCTAATGCAGGCTGATGCTATATCTGTGCTGCTCCGCTTCTATACTGGGTTTGTGGTTCACACTCATTGGCTTTATCAACAGATTCGAATTGGCTGTGCTAAACTCATCACGGACCCTCACTTGGGCCTGAATGCAGCTATACAACTTCTTGTCGCTCATTTCTACTATTAAAACTTGCGCCATTTCCATTAGATAGCCATCACTGCAGTCATTCTTCTTCATCTCCATCTCCATCTCCATCTCCATCTCTTTGATAACACAGTATGCTTGGGCAATACCCGCCTCCCGGCACCTCCTGCTCGGACCTTACGACATACCAACATGAGCTTAAAGCCTCCAAATACTCTAGTTCCACCAATGTGTCTCTACGGGACCGTCTGCGTCACTTTACCTGGGCCTGGTATACTCTGACTATGAGCACCGGCGGCCTAGCCCTCCTGCTGGCCAGCCAGCCCTACTCCTTCTCCGGATTGCAACAGATCGGGCTTGCGGTCTACATCATCAATCTGGCCTTCTTTGCTTTGCTGTGCAGCCTCATGGCCACGCGCTTCATTCTCCACGGCAACTTTCTCGACTCCCTCCGACACGACCGCGAGGGTCTTTTCTTCCCCACTTTCTGGCTTTCCATTGCAACTATCATCACCGGACTCTACCGCTACTTCGGCGACACCACACAGCCTGCATTCATTTATGCCCTTGAGGTGCTCTTCTGGCTCTACTGTGCCTTCACTCTGATGACCGCTATCATCCAATACTCCTTTGTGTTTACCGCGCACCACTACCCTCTACAAACGATGATGCCCTCGTGGATCCTCCCCGCATTCCCTATCATGCTCAGTGGCACGATCGCCTCCGTCATTGCCGAACAGCAGCCCGCACGTTCTGCCATTCCCATGATTGTTGCCGGCACCACCTTCCAAGGTCTTGGCTTCTCCATCAGTTTCCTCATGTACGCGCACTATATCGGACGGCTCATGGAGACGGGGCTTCCATCCCGGGAACACCGACCCGGGATGTTCATCTGCGTTGGGCCCCCGGCTTTCACGGCCCTTGCCCTAATCGGCATGACCAACGGCCTTCCTGAGGATTTTCAGGTCCTACAAGACCCGCACCCCTTTCAAGACGCGCATATCCTGCGACTCCTTGCCATCGCCACGGGCGCCTTCCTCTGGGCCCTCAGTCTCTGGTTCTTTAGCATTGCCATCATCGCCACCATCCGCCTGCCACCTACCGCCTTCCACCTCAACTGGTGGGCTATGGTGTTCCCAAACACGGGGTTTACCCTCGCGACCATCACGTTGGGCAAAGCCTTCGATAGCCCCGGGGTCAAGGGTGTCGGATCTGCCATGTCCATCTGCATTGTGGGGATGTGGCTGTTCGTGTTTGTGAGCAATGTTCGTGCCGTTGTGAAGCGGGATATTGTCTATCCTGGGAAGGACGAGGATGTATCAGAGTGATGTCGTTGATCTTTGTTATTTCGCCCTTTATCCTCCACAGTCGTATATTTTCAGCACTTTACTCTGTGTGGACGTGGGCTTTTGTCTCTATGTCCTGCATATACTATATAGAAGTTGTCCCATTTTATTGAACCGGAAAGGCAGTCGGCCATTTACTTTCTGAGCGTTCCGGGCGTTGGGAGTTGTCTTCTCTTTGGGCACGTTTTTTTGTTTTTTTGTGAATATTAAGCGGTATATACACTTACTCTCGGATGTTTGTGCATGCTTCACGGCTGCGATACAGTTATACATTAGCTACAGGATCTGAAATAGAATAGAAGTCTTCTGAACCTGTCTACGCATGCTGAGCATTCTTCACCGAGACTGAGCTCCGTCACGCACGGTAGTTTCATGTAGGATGATCATAATTCACAAACAAGACAATCCATTAGTCCCGGCATATCACAAGGACCAATCCACGTCCCCGTGTGAATTAGACGAGACATCCTAGGTGAACCGGTACTTTGACCAGTGTACTCTTGATACCACTACAGTCGGGTCATGTGCATGTTCGCGCTTTGACAAACTGTCGACTCACTCCAGCCAAAGAGGGGAACTGCGATGCGGTGTGACAGATCATGCATCCTGCGCCCACCCCATGGCTTAGCCAAGGGGGGATGAGAGGGACATGAACAGCCAGCCAACACCAACACCGACCCCAATGAACAATCGGCATCATACACCTGTTGGGGGCTTGCTTATTGATCGATGCATCTACAACCCCGCCCCCTTGGGTAGGACCGAAGTTCATGACTCGGTAGGTAGGGCAACCTGCGTCCGCTGATGCAGTGGGCTAGAGCACACCGACACCGACACCGGTGTTGTTGTTTGGCATTGTGATTGCAACCGCGATAGCATGTCAGGTTGTTTGCTACTATCCCTTTGCGAGGGTCGAGGCGCTGAGGGCTGCTCTTCGAGAAGATGAATGGATGGTCATGTCTGGGTGCTCGACTATCTATTTATTGGGGGGGTACAGCACGACCAGTCATCGGTACCTTGGTAGCTTTCTATCCACCTTTGAATTGGGTGTCAATCCAGGGGCAGGATGCATGATATTGATCTGGTTTGGGATACGGAGAACTCGACCCATGTACGGGGTATATGTGAAGATATTTAGATATATAGATTGTTCTACGACAAAGGAAGTCTATGAGCCTGACAAGGCGCTGACTACCAGAAGTACTCCGTAGAGTACATCCGCTCCGCATCCCAACTAATTTAGTCACCGCTACCCCCGTCTCCCCCAGATTGGTTGATTCCACCACACGAGCATCCGAGGTGGATGAAGGTTGAGATGTAGCCCCCGGTACTGACGGCAGTCATCGGAGATTTCGACGGGCTGTGGCCAATGCTTGCTTTCTTTGTGTGTTTGTGTTTTTTTTTTAGCCAGCCTGGAGAGGAGGTTAGTTCTTGTTTAATGGTGCATTCTGAGAAGGGTGAAGAGTGAATTGGGGAACTTACAAGCTCTGTCACTTACTGGGCTGGATTGAACACTGGCCACAGACTACAGGTCTGCGTCTTCTTTTGGTCCTTGCTTTGTGGGTGTGTCGTCGACGAGGAGGGGGAGGTAGTGCTGATGTATGGTTCACGTTAGCGTATGGTGACGGGCGTTAAGGTGCGTTGCGCTTGCATTCGTACTCGCTCACCCACTCTTTGAGTCTGGACTGGTGCGTTCCCCTTGCATGGAAGACTTTCGCACGAGTGGTAGAGTAGAGTGGTAGAGAGGTGGAGAGAGTAGAAGTAGAGGGAGAGGAGGAGGAGGAGGAGAGAGAGAAAAAGGTAGAAGCACTATCCCCCCAAAAGCATCAGCATCAGCATCACCAAAGCACCCCATCTCATCTCATCTCCATCTTCATCTCCATCCCCTCAAGCTTCAAGTAAAGGGGCATCATACCAGAGCATCTCCCTTGCGGGAACGTGCCTTGCGCGAGTGGGGGTCAACAGTAGGGCTTGTGTTTTTAGCCAGCCTGCCGCCGTCACCGTCATCGTCAGTTGTCATCGTCGTCACCAGCACCAGCACCAGCACCAGCACCTTGATCTTCATATTTCAAATGAACACGCCTGGGTATACGTACAAGCTCTGTCACTTACTGGACCAGCCCACGTAGGCTAGGCTTTGCTCAGACCGGAGGACTTTTTTTTCCCAGATACCTGCTTTCTTGAGCGGGGTTAGTAGATCCAGGGCGCGACACTCCTCCATCCCCCACTTACCTCTTCATAGAAGAAGGAAAGCGGGGGAAGGAGAAGTGTCGTGCAAGATAGGAGCCGTCATCCCTCAGATTGGTATCTACACCGGCTTGTTAGCGTTGAGTCGGTGGAGGAGACGTACTGCGGGTTTTGTTCTTTGGGTGATGGGGTTGGCTGGATTCGATTTCGAATTCGAATTCGGTTTCGTGGTGTTGACCGGGGGGCGGGGGTTGATGCGTCTGGTTTGGCGAGAGGCGCGAGTTAGACGTTGTTAATAGGTATGCTGGACGTGAGTCGATGGGGATAGCTGTGTGTATGGGGACATGGTGATGAGAGAGTTAGTAGGATGGGGATATGGGGACTTAGAAAAGAAGGGAGAAAAGGGGGGAAGCAGGCAAAGAAAGAGAGAATCCGAGGGAGAGGCGCCAGCCAGGTTTTATCATCGCTTGTTGGGTCACATTCGGAGGAATCGAGGAATCGAGGAGTCAATGCTGGCCGAGTTCGGTGCGTGCTGCGGGCTGGGGCTGGCGAGGAGAAGCCCTGGTTTATCATGTTGGGTCGGTCGAATGACTGAATGCTGCTTGACGCTGGGAAGATCAAGGTCGAGACGCGGGGGCCGACATGGGACGAAGTCGTGGCGGCGTCGTCAATTCTCCGAACTGCTGCTCAGCGATTTCCTAAAAGGTACAAAGTTGAGGCGATCGATGGGCGAAGTCTGAGACCGTGCATGGCGAAGTGCTCGGGATTGTCTTGGTAGTAGTAGAATGGAACAGTCGATGGGAGACACCAGCGGGCACTTATAATTTTCTTTTAGAGTCTATCATCTATATACATGGTACAACCACCAATCACCGACATATTTTTGGAACTGCCTGTTCGTCAGGCCGCAGTCGACCAGCCCTACTTCCTCCTACTCCTGACTCCGGAAACCAATCCGATCTCACATGGCTTTCCCCTACAGATGAGGTGGACGCCTCGTAGACCAAACAACAGTGGGTATCATTAAGAAAAGGCGAACAACAAAAGATCTTGCAACAGTGCTGTTTTTTGGGGGGGGAAGGACGGGCTGCGGTGTGCGATCAACAGCCATCTGTCCGGTGTGGTCTCAGCCACGTGGCAGCAGGGCCAAGCTAGCGGTGAAACTTGGCGACAATGAATACAACCACATCTGGAAAATGAAGCATAGACGTGGTCTGTCTCCTTCCTCAGCTGATGTGAAACTCTGCTCAGTCCCCTGGCTGTGGTCGGGATACACCGCTGCCCTGCGCACGAGCGGCAAGGCACGGTGACTGGGCTCTGAAACAAAGCTAAAACATTGCCGATAGAGCCGCCACAGACCAAGAACAATTTCTTCGATCGGGTATATCGTTAATACTCCCGTCGAACATGCAAACCCCGCGGAGTGAGGTGAGGCGATGAAACAATGTGTTTCACGCTCAAGCGACCTTGCGCCCAACGTTGCCGATGCCGCGGCCAACGACGCTGATGATCACGTCTCCATTCTCGTTCTCACCACTAGCATCGCGAAGGCCCCAGCCCGGGGCACCGAATTTGGCCAGGTCCCTGGCCAGTTGGATGGTGCTCTCGTCAGCCATCACCTCCCGGCCGACTTGGATACGACCCACGTCCTCCGATCCCATGGTCATCAGACCAAGCATGACCGGCACGGCTGCAGGGGCAACGCAGCCACCCTTGGAGACGGTCTCCAGGAGCTGGTAGGCACATCGCTTCCCAATGTCCTCAGGCGCCTCACCGCCGGAGGGCGGCGATGCCACATCGGCGGAGAACAGGCACCCCGTCGACGACTCAGCGACCAGGGACAGGCCAAAGCCCAGGCCGATCTTCTTCTTGCCGGACGGGTTGCTCTTCTCTGGCGCAGGCACGAAGGGCGCCGACGACACATCAGAGAAGACGTAGGTGTCGGGCACAAGAGGGTTGAGGATGCCACGGGCGGTTTCGATCATCCGTGCATTGTTGGACGCCGACACCCCCACGGCGTAAGCTACACCGCGCACCCTCTTAATGCGACCGGGGTTCATCAGGTGCAGAGTTTTCGGAAGTCGCAGCTGGTGGCCGAACACAAACTGGACTTCACCGCCGCCGCCTCGGCCGTTGGGGCCCGGATTGGATCGCTTGAGGATGCGCAACTCGATGTTGTTGAAGATGCCGAATTGGTTGAAGAGAGGGAGGATCGCCGTGCGCACACTGTCGACGGACATGTCGCCCGTCGGGGTGGCCGAGGTGATCACGCCGGGTCCCGTGAACGTCACCTTGATCGGCGACTTGGAGAAGGGAGCCAGTAGACACAGGGGGATGAGGAAGTAGCTGACACCGCGAGTGCACCCCGCGGGGATCTCATGGCGAATCACGCCTCCACTGGCGCCGGTGCCCGTCGCGCTGCCGGTGATCAGGCCGGGCTTGTACACGACGATAGTACCCGTGTAGGAGATTTCCATCTGCGAGCCATTGGTGACAGCATCGAGGAGACGAAGGAAAGAGATTTCGTGCGGAGCGAGACCTGGATTCGTCGGGGACGAAGGACGGATTTGAGAGATGTGGACGGTCCGGCCAGTCAACGTGGAGAAGACCAGGCGATAGACGAAGTTTTTGTGGGAGGTGAGCCGAATCGGGGGCTGAGAAGTCGACGCCATTGTGTCCGGAGAGATGAGGGGAGTTTCCTCGAGAACGCCGTCGGTTGATTCGAAAAAGCGTCGAGGCAAGCAGAATTTCGTGCCTGCGTGGTGGAATCTTTTGGCCTGATCCGAAAAAGGGAATCGAGAAAATCTGCCGGAAGGGGGGATGTTCCGTTCCGACTCGCGGCGTTTGGGGGCGGCTTATCTCCGGGCAGATAACATTAACTTAGACCCTGGAGTGTCGGATGATCACATACTCACCGCGAAGATAACCCATTCCGCCCTTCATCTCTGCTTCACAAAACAAATACATCATCCGGTGTTGACTTCCAGGAAAATTCATCGCGGCAGATACTACGGGCCAAAATTATGTTACCACCGGCCTTGAACATCCCCAAATGGTATGTATAGAATTTCCTTGACGATCCGTCCATCTCGTCGCTTCAGATTGCCTACCCCTCCTCGCCCCGCATTGTTATTTGCTTATCAACCACTCCCAAAATCTCCTCCCATCGAACTCATCTACAACCCCCATGTTCGCATTGCGCACACACGGCTGATTGACACAATAAAACTTACGCAGGCTCGAAGCCAACTCGCACCTCCTGCAACCCCCCGTAAACAACTACTGCGTGTACCATCCGTCCTCGCCGGCGACGGCGGGATACACGGTGATGATCGTGGGGGGGCCCAACGCGCGCACGGACTACCACCTCAACACGACGCCGGAGTTCTTCTACCAGTACCGGGGGTCGATGCTGCTGAAGACGGTGGACACCTCGGTCACGCCGCCCGTGTTCCAGGACATCCCGATCCACGAGGGGTCGATCTTCCTGCTGCCGGCCAACACGCCGCACTGCCCGGTGCGGTTCCGGGACACGGTCGGCGTGGTGATGGAGCAGCCGCGCGCCAGGGACGCGGTCGACCGCATGCGCTGGTACTGCCGGAGCTGTGGGGAGATTGTCTGGGAGAAGCGCTTCATCTGCACGGATCTGGGCACGCAGGTGAAGGAGGTCGTCGACGAGTTCGGCGCTGACGAGGAGAAGCGCACCTGCAAGGCCTGTGGGACCGTCGCGCAGACGAAGTTTGCCGAGGGCGAGATCGTCCAGCCTCCTCGTCATCCTGAGTAAGGGTTTTCCTTCGGGATCAATAGGACAAGGACACAAACGATACCCCCGGTTTTTCTTTATGCCATGGTGATGTACAATATCTGTAGGGGGGGAGGGCTCGGCTTTGATGTGTGATGTTGATGATTACGAAAATGCGTCGGCGAGATTGTCTCGTATTGGAAAGCAAATCTATATCTTGGAACTTGTTGGATTGGTGTGTAGCACAGTTTGGATTGGTCCTCTTAGAGGGCCTTGATTAGGGTGCCCGTAGGCTATAGTCAAGTATCGAATGTCTGGATGATGGCTGTTATCCAGGGGAATATGGGAGAGAAGAGAAGTTGAAGCGAAAGGGTACACAAAAGGTGGCTGTCCTTCTCTGGACCAGCCGACACCAGGACACTGAAAAGAGAAAAAACATAACACAAGGACTGAAGGGACCGCAACACACTCGACCAAAGCTAATTGTAACATGTATGTTGATCACAGCCGCACAAACAGAGCAGACTGTGTATGCACGCTATTCCATCCCATGCTACCGAACTGTACATTGTAGAAAGACAGACTGGGTTATCACCAAGCAAAACATCAAGAAGAACAAGGCGAAATAGCAGTGGCAGGTCAGATGATTGTAGACACATAGCGTGTCTTATATGAAGACCTGCCCATGGCAGCAAAGAGCCATTACTCATTGCAAGGCTGGGAGACTGTCGTACCTCATGAAGCATACCCCGGGGCCACAAGTCTGACTGCAATCATGGGGCCTATGTCTGAACCAAACCCACGGTTGCCATGCTTCCCGTACCAGGCAGGACATCAGGCCAGTCCGCCATCAGTCATCGAATGGACAGTCGATACTCTCGTGGCCGTCTCTTTCACAGAGAGCACACCACTTAGACTCGTCAATCACACCGCTCGCTTTCCCCGCAACAGGGGCCATAGATGATGTCAAACCTACTCCCCTGAGACCCTCCAGAACGGCATCACGTCCGGTCTTCTGAGGGGTTGTGCTCTCCTCGGGGGTCGAAGATGTAGAGGGCTCCGCCGTGGACGTTTCAGGGGTAGGCTTTTCATCTATGGAGCTGTCATCGTGAAGAGGCTCTTCAGGCTCAGGGGTCTTCTCCTTGTTCTCGACACCAAACATGTTGGTGCAGCTTAGGATGTCATGACCGCCTGTCTCACAAATCTCACACCATAAAGAGCCACCATCCTCCGAGCGAGCATCTGACTCGTGCATCGTCTCTAGACGATGGTGGGAGGCATCTGACATGGCGCGGTGGCGTACGGAATAGGCCTGGTACTGCCCTTCATGCTGAGGTTGATCATGCCAATCGTGTGGAACCACCGTGCGATCTGACAGGCGGTGCGCATGATTGATCACATTACCATTAGTGAGGTTTGACCCACTGGTGCTGGTGGACTTTTGGTGGGTTGGTGCGGTGGTAACGGTGGAGCTGCGCGTGCGACCACCGCCGTTGATCTGCATCTGCTGGAGTTCGCGTTCGAGTTCTTCAATGCGGTAGTTCTTCCGTTCCGGGATATGCTCAAACTCCTCTGCTTGTTGCTCGAGGTGAGGGACATGTTCTGGTTGGTGGTCGGGTTGAGGGTCGGGCTGTGGGCTTGTGCCGATGCTGTTCTGCTGAATTGCATGCAAATCGGGGTCACCACGGCTGAGCGAGTGGATAATAGCCTTAAGGCCACGGATCTCGTCGTCCTTCTGTTCTAATTCTCTCAGGTGGTGCTGTCCGTCGGTTCCGGCTGGAGGCTCCTTCGAGTCACGTTCCTTCTGGAGTTCCAGCTTCGTTCGCTCGACCTCTCCCCGCAGAAACTCCACCTCTGCTCTTGCTTCGGCTTCTCCGCGCCGTGCATCCTCCAGACCCTCTTCAAGCTCGGAGACTAGCTCCTCGAGCTGTTTAAGCTGCCTTGCTACGGTTTCAACATCCTCGCCGCGCTCCTGCAGCTCTTGATTTTGTTGCATCAATTCATCTAGGCGTTGCTCATAAACCCGCTCCGTTTCCGAGGCAGCCACCTCCAAAGTATCCAACGTGCTTCTAAAATCTGCCCGGTGCAGGTCAAATTCCGCGGTCAGCGCTGCGATCTTCTCATTCTTCTCGCGCAACTGGGCTCGGATTGAAAGGGAGTCGGATCCCTCCAACTCTTCCAGGGTCCGCTGGAAATCCGATAGGGTGGCTGCCTGTTCATCCAACTGGTGATCGCGGTCCAGCAGTTGCTTTTCCAGGCTCTGAACCTGCTCCCGTACTTCCCGGAGTTCTGCTGCCACGGACGACTGGTGGAAGTCGGATGTGCGGGCCGACGGGAGCTCGTCTTCAGTGCTCAGCCGCGACGGCGGTCGGTCAGAAGCACGGGAGGGAGCCTTGACTGGACTTCGCGGAAAGCCATTTGTCGATGCGGTTCTCGATGCCACGGATGGGGTTCGTAGCCCCGCCAGGCTCAACTTGGAAGGAGGCGGACCTCTGGGTGATTCGGGCCGGGGGAGGGACGGGCGTCTCACCCGTGGGGCGCGCACCGAGGTACCAGGGCCGATAGACTTGCTGAAGTTGACGGGCCGCGAAGGGGTGGGAGGGCCGGCATTTATGCTCGAGCCCAGACCGGAAGCACGTTTGGTAACATACTTGTTGTTGTTCATCGGCACGAAGATGCCGGAGCCAGGAATGGACGTGGAGAAATAACGCTTCCCTTCAACATCCCCGTTGTTCTTTCCCCTCCTGGCATGCTCCGAGGCGAGTTCAATGCCGGCGAACTTGCCTGGTTTGCCCGCCACAGTTCCCAGGTATTTGACCGTCCCGTACATGCCGCCGGGGACGTTGACCAGGTCGCCCACCTGGACATCGTCGAGGGGTGCCATGGTGACTGCAGGTGGGAGGGTCGGGAGGAGGGTCGGGAGTCGAGTCGCGTTAAGTCGAAGATTCTGCGGAACGGAAGGGAAAGGGAATTGAGGGTCGAGATATAAGGCCACGGACAGGGACAGACAGTGCGTGACTTTCAAGGGACGACGACAGGTGAAGAAAGGGATGGTCTAGTAACGGAAGAGGTGTGGGGTGGCTGAAAGCAGTTGCAGGAGAGAAGTGACTGATCATAGGTCAGTCGACATAGCTGGTGTGTAGAATGGATGCGCAGCTAGTAGGAGGCTCGGAGGGATGTTTATTGCCTATCCCTATCCTCTCCTCTGTGTCTCTGAAGCGTTCAGGTAGGGTCTCCGAGTCCTCCTGTTGGGCAGCGAAGGACAGGGGCGACGGCAAAAGGCGCAGAAGAACGACAAATCAGACTGAAAGACTGGGGGGTGGATATTGAGTCTGGTCGACAAATTTGCAGCCAGAGAGACACGGTAAGTGAAAGGATGCTGGGATTCCAGTTGCGAGTGAAAGTGACAAGTGACGACACAATAACAAACGAATCGGGGATAAGCTCAGGAAGCTCTGCAGCTGGAAGGCTTTCTGCCTTCTGCCCTTCTGCCTTCAGCCTAGGTTTCAATCAATCAATCAGCCTTCAATCGATTCGAACCCATCCCAAACGAGTAATGAACACACACGAACCATGGACGATTTGCCCCACCAGGCTCAATGTTTCCGTCACGTACTTACACTCTCGAAACATACAATAAATCCGTCCGAACGGGACTAGTGGCTGGGGCAATGCACGTTCTTGTTTCTGCCTGAGGATTCAGGACTCCGCCTTCCCACTCAATCATCCGTGCTTCTTCTCCTCATCGCTGCTCCCTTCTCATTACTCGTACTATTCCATCTTGTTGTTCATTCAGTATCACTCCTCCTCGTATCGTCACTACCTGAAATTCATCTCTCCTCTCAAGGAGACTAAAACCCCCCCTCAACCCGCCCTGCTATACCCTGAATTGCCCTTCGTTATCACCTCCTCTTCAAGCCTCCTTCCCTTGCAGTTCCGGCCACTGTCTTCCAGTCCCTTACCTAACCGTTCTACTTGTCCGCTTCTGCGCCGCCAACTCCGGGGTGGAGCCCAGCCCGTCAGAAGTGGACGATAGTACGTATCCTCCTTGGAACTAGCTCTCCTTAGTCGCCACGGGGTCATCACAGCCCGTCTATTGCCGAGTATTGTGGTGATCGATCATCACTGCTCTTTCAAAGAGCTTCATCGCACCTCCCCTACCTTCGCCCCTTCAATTGCCGCGCCGCGCCCTTTCGCCATGGCGCAATACTTCTTCGACCTTCTGTACAGCTTCACGGATTGCATGTGTTGCTTTCCTAGCACGCCGCAATTGAAGATCAACAGTCGCGGCTTCAAATTGCTCCGCCTTCTAGGTGAAGTAAGTATCCGCATCTGACTGCTGGTGCTGTACAGCTTCTCTGAAGAACCCTTGATGCTGACGCGCAGCCCCTACTTCGCAGGGCGGCTTCTCCTATGTCTACCTCGTCCAAGACAAAGCGACCTCTGAATTGTTCGCGCTCAAGAAAATCCGATGCCCCTTTGGCCAAGAATCGGTCTCCCAGGCATTGAAGGAGGTAGAGGCCTACAATTTGTTCACATCGCACAACAACATCATTCATTCCATCGATCACTGTGTTTCGACTGAACCCGGCTCCAAGTTCCGGTCCGACGGCGGCGAACCCGGCTCCAAGACTGTTTACATCCTATTACCTTATTACCAACGCGGAAACCTTCAAGATGCGATCAACGCCAATCTCGTCAATCACTCCCGTTTCCCGGAGAAGAGGCTGATGGAGTTGGTGCTGGGAGTCGCCCAGGCATTGCGCGCCATGCACCAGTATCGTGTCAAGAGCGGCTCGGGGCCGACCCGCAAAGCCAAGGCTGTCAGGAGGGAGGGGGCCGAGGCAGACGCAGACACCGCTGTTCGCAAGGCAAAGGCCAAGCGACGAGCCAGCCAAAACGCAGAGGACGATGAGGAGGAGAATGAGCCTTTGATGGACGACGAAGTGACCATCAGTCAGGAGGGAGTGCAGGACGGTGACCTCCGTCCGTACGCTCACCGAGATATCAAGCCGGGTATGGTGATCGCAAAAGGCAGTAAGAGACTGGCTAGGCTAACTTGAAAAGGGAACATCATGATCGCCGATGACGGTCGTACGCCCATTCTGATGGATCTTGGGTCGCTGGCACCTAGTCCGATCGCTATTACCTCTCGCTCGCTCGCTCTAGCGGTCCAGGATACTGCGGCGGAGCACAGCACAATGCCATACCGGGCGCCCGAGCTGTTCGATGTCAAGACGGGCTCGATTATCGATACCAAAGTGGATATCTGGTCTCTTGGGTGCACCCTGTATGCCTGCCTAGTGGGCAAGAGTCCCTTCGAAGCTCGAAGCGAAGAGACTGGCGGCAGTCTGAGTATGTGTGTACTAGGTGGAGACTGGCGTTTCCCGGACGAGAAGTCGAGCGCGACTAAAGGGAAAGGAAAAGCTGGTGACAACAACAACCGTGACAATGCCATGGCAATCAGTGAGCCTGTGAAAGAAGTTGTCCGCAAGTGTCTACAAGTCGAGCCCGCAGATCGGCCAGACATTGATGAATTGATTCAGAGTATACAAGACGTCATCAAGGAGCTACCAGATGATGATGAGGTTTCCGGAGGCTCGAGCTAAGCTATCTACTCGAGCCGCCTTTTCCTAATGTTGCCTTAGCATGTGACTTGCAGATACTTGCTTTTTGATTCTACATTAATGCCGGCTCTCGTCAGCTGTGCTGATCGTTGGATTGCCTGGTGTATTATATGAAATGATTTGGATGTTGAACATATCTCCTTCCGTGTTGATGGTATATAATAGCTGTATCAGTATCTGAGGGGTGATCGCAGCTGATAAAGGACCTGGTATGAGAAGCCAGGTTCATCTAGGCGGGTTTGTTATCAGAGGTCAATGCTTATCTACTGTTGGGAAGATAGTTAACGTAGACGTAGAAACATGAAGTTCCAGACCGCAGTCTGATATGAGAGACGCTCGTATTTGTCCTTTGACTCGGTCCACCCGTGATGAGATCGCACGGGAACACTTCCTCTCTTCTCTGCCTCTCACACTCACCTTCTTTCGCCATGATAATCACCTGCTTGCAAGCATGGCATGTGCTGTTCCTTTGGCAAAACCACTATGCAAGACTCCATTCGCGATGAAGATGTAAAATTCGAGCTGTACCTGAAATGTCTGCATCAACCTGTTGACAGCCGTTGGGCTGGCTAAGCAAAAGATGATAACGGGAATAGGATCGACAGGCAGGTTGACCCGTCGAGCTATCGACAGCAGCCTGGCTTACCGGACAGAACAGGATCCTTTGCCGACGGTCGATATCCCCCGCCTTGTCCGAATCATCGCAACTGGTTAGTTATCGCGATGGCCCGCCTCGAAGCCGCGCGGGGAAGACAGCCCACGACTGATTATCGCCATCTGCTTGCCCCCTCCTCCCCCCCAATTGACCCTCTCTGATAACCAAGTGGAGCCATCAGCGCCAGATTATCAGAGGGCTGCCCCATCCATAGGGTCCCAATGGGCCCCATCCGTGCAATGCTTGCTTAGACTCGGCGTTTCTCAGCGTGACGGAATGCAACCCGAGGGTGGCTTATCTGCAGACCTATGATAACGGCGACAGAGGATTGGATCATCTCTGGACTTTGCACGCTGATAGCAGACGGAATTGTTCCATGGTGCCACAGGGTGAGAGCGGGGGGAGGAACCCCCAAATGCAGTCAATGCTACTTACTTGACCGGCTTCTGCGAGGGGTGACATGTACGCTGCCCGCTGATTCGGTCGCCGTCGGAAGCTTTCTCGACAACAGCCAGACTTTAATAGTCCCGGCTGCCCGCAGGGAGGAAGCAGACATCATCTCTGACCAGAAACCAACAGTTCTTTTCTTCCCTAAATTCTGGAACAAGGCTCGTCAGTCTGTACCAATTGCTGGCCGACACCATGGCCCCGACTGTGGACAGAAACGCCATCCCCGGCACAGTGACCCTTGTAGATCTGCAACATGTTCTGGCGACCCGCCACCTAGACAAGGGCGACAGCGACATCGTTCTCATCCCAGAACCCTCGGACGATCCCAATGATCCGTTGAACTGGGCGCCGCGCCGGAAACTGCTTTCGACGGTTTGTGTCAGCGTGTACGTGGGCACCGGCCGAAGAGCTTGGGCGTGGTTCAGCAAGTATTGACATTGCGTCATAGATATACCCTGTTCGCGGGAATCGCATGTTCGGTTGTGTACTCGGTGCTCACGCAGCTGTCGGATGCCACTGGCGTCTCTGTTTCGACCCTGAACGAGGGCACGGGGTATATGTTTTTGTTCGCGGGCTGGGGACTTCTGTTTTGGCAGCCATTGGCTTTGCAGTATGGCAAACGCTTGACATATATTTTGTCACTGGTTGGGATTTTGGTAAGCCCTTGGAACTCTGGAGACATGAAAACACTACTAATGCTCCATAGGGCACGTCGATGTGGGGGTAAGCTTTCACGGGCCCACCTGCTGGGGTAACTGAACTAACTATAGACCAGCCCTTACATCCACACCAACGGCCAGTGGATCGCGCGGAGCATCATATCAGGGTTCTTTACGGCACCGATTGAAGCCCTGCCGGAGGTCACTGTCACAGACGTGGTAAGTGTGATGGCAGGTAATCTCCAACCACGCTGATAAGAGAATAGTACTTCACCCACGAACGGGGCACCTACATGGCCCTCTATGCATTCTTCCTGGCCGGGAGCAACTACTTCGCCCCGGTGATCTGCGGCTTCATCGCGGAATACCAAGGCTGGCAGTGGGTGTTCTACTGGCCCAGCATCTTCTGCGGCTGTGCCATTGTATTTCTCTTCTTCTTCATGGAGGAGACGAACTACGTGCGCCAGCATCGAACCGCGCCGGATCCGCAATTGACGTCTTCCACGAGGACGTCGGAACAGCACGAGAAGGAGAAGACTCCCTCCGGACTGGTTCAGCAGGCGGACACGGAGTGTGGCGTCATGTACAAGCAGAAGAGCTATGCCCAAAAGCTCTCGCTGCTGGGTCCGCGACTGCCCCGAAACAACATGTTCCGACGGCTTTGGCAGACGATATACTATCTGAGCTGGCCGGTGATCTTCTACGCAGGGTGGGTTGACGACAGACAGCTTGGATTTTGGACTTTATTGACATTAATAGGTTCTCGTACGGGTCGTACCTGATCTGGTTCAATGTGCTCAACGGCACGGCCTCGATTATTCTTGGTGGTGCGCCATACAACTTCAGGTGTGTCATCTAGATATGATCCGAAACAGACACGAACTCTAACCGTGGCAGCTCCTCGATGGTCGGTCTGAGCTATCTAGCCTGTATTCTGGGCGTAGTCTTTGCGTGAGTGCCCGTCACCATGTATACCGCGGTAATCACTACTAACAAAATCAGCTCGCTCCTGACCGGCCGGTTCAGCGACTGGCTCACCATCCGCCTGGCGCGGCGCAACAACGGGGTCATGGAGGCGGAGCAGCGGCTGTGGCCGTTTGCCCTCTGCCTGATCCTCGTTCCGGGGTCGCTGCTGCTCTGGGGGGTGGGCGCCGCGCACCAGGTGCACTGGTTCGGGCTGATCGTGGCGATGTGTCTGCTGGCGATGGCCAACACGTGCGGGATCACGCTGAGCGTGAACTACCTGGTGGACAGCTACCGCGAGCTGAGCGGCGATGCGATGGCGACGGTGATTCTGGTGCGGAACACGATGTCCTTTGCCATTGGATACGGGTGAGTGCTGCTGCACGTATAGCGTGTGATGTGCATTGACTAACAGCTGGCGGGCAGGATCACCCCGTGGGTCGACAACCTCGGCTACCAGAACTGCTTCATCTCGGCGGCGTTTGTGGGCCTGGCCTGCGCGGCCGTGTTCCTGGTGATGATCAAATGGGGCAAGGGATTCCGGGAGCGCAGCCGCGAGAAGTACTGGGCGATCGTGGTGGAGAACCAAGAGAAGGGGATGGGACATTGATTTTTTTTGATAAACAACAATTAACCCGAGATATCAGACCATAATCCCGATCCTCTACATCAAACATACCCCTACCTCCAAAGAAAACCTCTAGAGACCAACAGAACTAACCCCCCATCTTCCACCGCAACGCAAAGTTCGAATCCCACTTCGCCCGCTCCATGGCGGCATCCCACTCCCTCGCCATGCGCGCCAGCATCTCCTCGGGCGTCTCCGTTTCCACCGGGTCAACCTCCCCACTCCCCTGTTGCTGTTGTTCCTCCCCCTCCTCCCCCTGTCCATCCACCCCCCCAAAACTCGAATCAATATCCAACCGCTCCAACCACCCCCTCACCCTCCTCCGCCTCTCCGCCATCTCCACCCACGCATTCCTCCCCTCCCCTTCACTCCCCTGATAACCCCCCGAAGTGGGGGACTCGCACCCCCGCAACCCAATAAACCGTCCAAACCGCCTTCTCTTCGTCTCGAGGTCCACCTCCTCCCCCTCCGGCGTCCCAAGCCACGGCGCCACCGTGATCGGGTAGTACCCCGTGGCTGCCACCGGGGGATAGACCTGGTGGAAGTGTCGGGCTAGACTATCCAGCTGCGCGTGCGTGAGGCAGTGGAAGGCGAGGAGGGTGCGTGGGAAGGCCGGGTGGTAGTGGCCGGTTGTGCTGCTGACGAGGGGGTGGAGCGGGGTGCGGAGGTGGGTGAGCAGGGGGGTTAATTCGGCTCTGAGGCGGGGGTTCTTGGGGAGGCGGAGGGGCTTAGGGGTCTCGGGGGGTGGGATGAAGGGATTGTGTGTG